TACTCTCAGATGCAGAATACATAACTTCATCATTTGCATATTTCAACACAGATGTCATAATTTTGAGGTCATCATCTAGTTGCAGATGCCTATGGGAATAATGCCCCTTACTCTCTAAGCAAATCATCTTCTATTAATATTAAATCTCTGCTTGCCTACAAGATGCTTCTTATTTTAAGAAGTAAGATGTCTTCCACTTGCTTAATGTCAGTTAAGCATGGAGGCGTCATGCTTCTTTTTAAGGAATCCACTCAAAAGTTAATACAACTCTTAAAGCCACCCTTTTTTCTTAGCGCCTGTCGAAGCCTGAAAAAGTTGGGCTGCTTTTGGTACTTTTATAGGACAGAAGAAAAGTGCTGCAGTTTGGCAGTTCAAATCTCACCAGGCTCAAGGTTGATTCAGCTTTCCGAAGTCAGAAAAATGAGAACCAATGCACTGACTCTGTAAACAGCTTAGAGAAGGCTGTAAAGCATTGTGAAGTGGTATATAAGTCTAAATGCTATTGCTATTAAAGCATGCACAGCCCTCACAATTTCATGTTGCATAAATAAATCCCATGGGTAAAATCAGTCAATCAGCAGCTGGCCACATTTAAGATGAACTTTTTCTTCCATTTTGTTTCAGAAGAAAAGAGAGATGATAGGAATAAGGAGTTTGCCTCAGCTTTCTTCTCAAGTTTCCTTATAATTTATTTCTAGCTCCTTGTTCAAATAAAATTTGCTCCAATTTGGAATATCAATATTTTATCTTTTGGACTATATGAAGAAAATATTACCTTTGATCTTGACTTGCCATTTTCTGCACTGGCAGACATATCTTTGATCGACTCTGGTGGCATGTAATTAATGGTGCCAACCTGTTAACATAAAAAAATAGAACTATGTACATTTAAATAATAGTTACATTTAACATTTCTATAACTGATTAATAATGTAAAATATAATATTAGAGATTTAGTTCCTTTTTGGATTTTGAGAATACTCATGGTGGCTACAAATCAAACTTTCCCCCTCAAATAGCATGACATTTCAGCAATTTAATCCCAAAGATTTTACAGACAATTCAATAGACGTCCGACACCTCATAAGAATTCAGCCATTTTAATTCTAATATATGTCTGGGGATGCTATGTAACTATACCCTGCTCTAATATTTTTTACATCAAGTCAGGAATGCCTGATACGATGTTAATGGATACTAATATTAACCATGCTAAAGGATAATTAGGTTCTCTGGTTAAGAATTCTAGTAAAATAAAAATCCTAATTCATTTTAGAATCAGTAATAACTACACTAATTTAGCTACTGTCATTACAGGAGAAACTCGTTTTACTAAGAGTGCAATCATACAACCCATTCATGATTACTTAACCTAAATTTAACATTAGAACAATTCTACAAATAACAGCAAAATATGTTACCTTTTTAATAATATTGTGATGGGGCAGCAGATACTCCACTTTTAAACCTAAAGGTAGCCATTTAAATATTAAGCTTGTTGGACTCTAGATTCTCATCAGCTTTAATCAGAATAGCCATCCATGAAATAATGAGAGCTAAAGCCATATCTAGAGACCAGCCTATTGTCTTCTTAATGTTTTTAAAACCTTAGATAGATGTTTAATATACTTCATAGTCCCATACATTTACATATTCAAGACTCTTCTTAAAGTTTTCAGCAACAAAGTGAAACAACTGGAACTGTAATAGCTAGGGCAATTCACTTTTCTCTCTCATTAGAAATCATTATGAACCCTTCAACCTAAATCTTTGGAAAAATAAGATTTGACTCTGGTCCAAGTGTACCAAGAAAAAAAAATGAAACACACAAATGCAATGTGTGTGTTGCTGAATGTTTTCTGATTGCAACATGTTCTTATCATACTCCATTATCAAACAACAACAATAAGCAATTATTTAAGATAATTGCTTCTTTTATGTTTAATAGTTCACACTTGTCTCACCTGGGAATCTTTAACAATGCTAGTCACATCTGGCTGCATCTGATTTGCAATGCCAAAATCTATTAGTTTTAGCATTCCATCTACTAATAGAAAGTTTGCTGGTTTCAGATCACTATGAACAATACCTGCAAGTTAAAATTTGTTCAATTAATTCAAAGTGTGTCAAGAATTATTACTTATCCACATATTAAAACACAAGGTAGGGGAAAAAATGAAAATCCTATGTAAAGTATTCAGGCAATCAAGAGTGGAGGGTTTTTGTGTCCCTGATATCACTGGATCTTTTCTGTTATATGACATTGTAGAAAAGCTGGCTTAAAAAACACTCTGGAGACACATATGCAATTTTGAATTACATTGTTTTCTCCTAGTTTGCCCACTTCATAAATGACCACATTCCTACACATCAGAACACCATCTTCTCTACTGATTGCCTCTGAAAGCATCTGGAATCCTCAAGTAGTACATAATATTTATATTACAATGTGTAATTCCAATTGCAGTTCAAATTTCTGCCTTTTATTTTTAGAATTTTAAATAGTCTGTAAATTGGGATCTAGCTACTTGGAAGACTAGAGTNATAGGATGCTCTGTTTACTTAGAAACTGCAAGATTAACACAGGATGAGTATCTTTTTATTTACAAAGTTGAACATCAGTATCAGTAGATTGTATCATCTGTACATCAAAAAGATTTCCACAGGAATATGTACAGGATAAAATAATGAATAAAAGCAGCATAATTTGAAGTACTGCTTTTATAGTATCTACCACCAGCAAAATATGAAAAAAATGACAGCTGAATCTGATAGAAAAGAAAATAATTGACTTGATTGTTAAAGATAGTTGTCCAGAACTAGAGTTCCTTAGTTCATGTTAAAACAAGTCAAAACATTTCTCTCAAGATTCAGAATCACAGCTAAGCTTTATTCAACTAATCCACAAGTATTTGCTATCCAAATATAACAGCAGACCAGCATGTTATATAGCAGGAATGGTCCATAATATTCATATGCAAATACTAGATGAAAAAAATGATGATAAACATTTGTAAGTGGCAAGACAAATATACCCAGATGTGACCAGCCTTTGCTTAGAATATCTTATTTTCATTTATATCTTTTGTAAATCAGGCCTTATTACTTTGTTTTCCAGGTTGTCCGACTGTCAGATTTTGAAAAAGCAGACACATCTAAACCTTCACCTTTGTTGCACTGCTCATATAAAGTCTGAAATTTAAAAAGACAAGACAAATGATTAAATCTCTCCTCTTTACTTTCAAATCCCCTTATTTTCTTTTTTCCCCCCCTATGGAACATTAAGCTTAATCCTTTTTGTCATCTCAAACAAATTCTTAATAAATATTTACTTCCCACCCTAAGTTTTTATTTTTGCTTCTATTTTTCTTCCATTCTCTCAGCCACTTAGAGATAATTTTTTTGCTATTATTTTCTAAAACTTATGCAGTAGTGGTGTGTAAATGCCAGTTCAGTACCTACACAAGCACATCAAAAGCATACAAAGGGAGTTCCAATGTTACACACATCCTGCAAATAACACAATTTGTAACACAATTTGATGCAGCCCTTATTTTTCTCCTCTTGTTTTCTATGTAACATACTTTTTTATTGTTCTGGAGGAAAAAAAGAAATAACCATCAAAGAAACCTCGTTACAAATGCAGCAAAACAAAGCAAAATAATTTTCAGGATCAAAAGCAACTAGTGAGAAAGTTATATTTCTGAGGCTTAAAATGTTTGTGCATTTATAAAAAAAAAATAAGGGGTTTGCAATACCTGCCAATTTACAGTTGAATCTCATTGGTTTACATAGCCTTGGAAAGACACAAGTTACTTGAATAAAATAAATTGCACAGCTTCTGTTCACACATTTTCCTTACTCTTCCCAACACATATTGCAAATAATCTTCTGGAATTTATTTTGGCCAAGTTCAGGAGAGCTAGGTTTAATAATTAATTAAATTTAGAGTATCTTCATACTTTCTTATAAGACTTCTCTACCATTTTAGTAAAAACAATTTTAATTAAAATGTTATTTAAAGTTTTTATTAAAAGAAAGGATTAATGTATTTATCTGCAATTATTTTCAAAAGGAATTGGAGATCATGTCCATAAATATAAGTCATTAGAAACCATCCCACCTACCCACCCCCATTATATATTGCTTATTTTGATCAAACTAAGTAGAAGCACATTGTCTAATTAAATATTTTATTTATGTATCTAAACTCAAATAGGCATGATGAAATTTTTCTTTTAAAAAATCAGGGAAATCCATGAGAAATCAACTGGTTACTTCCCCATTTATAAACTTGTTCATTTAAAAGAGTTTACTTGGTATTTCAAAGCACACTTAATGAATGCGCTGGAATTAAAGACATTCAGGAATACTATACTCATGATACTGATCCCCTCAAGATTAGAACACATAGTGTAAATTGTAAATACTCCCCCCCCCGGTCAATTTCCTGGAATAAAATTAAAAAATTCCCCCAATTATCCACAGCTCATTTTATCTTTTCTTGTTTTGCTGCATTGGTGGGAAAGGAGGACTCTTTTAAGGTCTTCTGTGCAAATACAGGCCTTGGCCAGGGCACAAAGTGTCCCTGGTTGTGGCATGAGAGAAGCCCTGGCAGCACCAGCATGAAAAGTGGAACAAAGGCTCCCCCAATACAGTAGTGGCACACAGTGTGGCAATGGATAGGGCTGGGAGATGGGAGCAACTGGCCGAGAGGCAATCATAAATATAGACAGATGCAAGTAAGCCTGAATTTTGTCCGTGTGACCATGAGAGCAAGGAAACAGCCAGAAATGTGGGGACTGTGATAAGTCCCTTTGTTTAGCACTGTCATAATTTTGAACATTTGCTGAATGAACAGATGTTAAGAAAGGACTACTTGTGTAGAAGAGTGTCCCACTTCATCTAACTCAAACTATTGACTATTGTCTACTTTACAAGAGCTTCTATTTCATTAACGTAATTTCTTATCATTTACTTACTAACAGTTGAAACCATTTCTCACTACACATTCACCATTCTATCAGTCCTTTTCTCTCTCCCCTGAAGAAACTCTGAGCAAGAAATACATAGTTCTAACATGATTTTATTATTATTTATCATTTTAATTATACTAGCAGTGATATTACTTATCTACTTACTCTAGCAGCTTTGGAAATAGAGTTAGGAGAATTCAAGCCGATAAGTTGACCAAGAATACGCTTCATTTCTTCTGATGTTCCTTTTGCATTTTGATGTCCTAGAAGAATTTAAAGTTAAATTGTTTGAGATGCATGCCCTATGATTTGATTTAAAGCTGTTTGAAAATTTTGGTACATAGCACTTGGCAAACTAACTTAAGATAGCATACATAATTTAACCTGCAAATAGTTTTATTTTTTTTTAAAAAAAAATCACTTTTAAACAAAATAATTTTGGTAGAATAAACACAATAGTAATATCTATTAGAAAAGTTGAATTACCTGTTTGTGAATTGGACTGTAGATGTACATAAGGATGGATCAAAAGTTCAGAGATAGATATTCTTTGCTTGGGATTCCTAATTAAACAATTCTGGGNCCCATTCCCTCCCCACTCTGGGGCCAGTCAGAGGTGGCATTTGCCGGTTCTCCGAACTGCTCAAAATTTCCACTACTGGTTCTCTAAAACCTGTCAGAACCTGGTGGATTTCACCCCTGCATGCATCACACCTCAAGCTAAACCATGATTGCTGAAGAAACTCTTTGCTGGATTCATATTGCAGTAATCGCCAGTTTCCAACCCCAATATTTAGATTCACACAGAATTCTATACAAGGGGTCCTCAATCTGTTGGCCATGGGAGATTTGCAACTGGACCAAGGAAATGGCTGGCGAGCTCATGAGCATGCGCTCCATTTAAGTGAACGGCAGGCGGGCATGCACGCACTCACACAAATGGAGCTGCTTGTCCGTGCACTAGCACACTCGTGCAAAACCATTTTCCCCACCCCCACCCCACCCTGTTGGTCCACAAAGCTGGAAACATCGGGGGAACTAAATCATAAGCATATCCGTTCAATTCTGGCTTAGCCTCATGAATTAAAGTAATCAGCCTTCCTTCTTGAAATGTGTAAGCATAGTTACCAAATGTTATGTGTGAATCACAATGCAAATTGTGTGCAAAACTCAGTTTGGGCACCTGAAGCTTTGGATAGGCAGCGGGATCCTTGAGGTATGGCTCATGAAGTTGGCTGTAAAGTCGACACAATTCCCCTGGGCAGTCCAAAACAATCTGAAGAAAAAATGGATCATAATATTTCAGTGCAATAACCTACAGGTTAGGAAATCCCCAGTGTAAATCTTCCAACTACCTAGTTCCAACTACCGTACCATCTCATCTCCCTGGGTATGTAAGGGAGGGAGAGAAAAACAATTTGTAAGGGTCTATTCTTAACCACATTGATGCGATGACAAAGCATGTGTCAAGCACCGGGGACATCAGGAGATTCAGGCAGTTCAAATGAGTTTATAAAGATTTATTGTAGGCTTAAGCTCGCTACAAGAATCTGGCCAACTAATAGTCAAGGGAAATGAGCGGGAGATAAGAGAGGCATTCAAGGTAGGCTGGACTTAGATCTCTTGTGGACGTTCAGGGATTCGTGACTTATGGTGCGCTTGACCCCTCTTCCTTTAGGTCATCTCCTACAGTGGATGGATGGGTAGGATGATAGATGGATGGATGGATGGATGGATGGATGGATGGATGGATGNCTTCTCCCTACTTCTTAAAAATTGAATTCTAGATATTTCCCTGGGAAGCTTGGTGTTTTACTTAGTTGCTCACTTTAATTAATCTACTTAAACCTGGCTAGCTGTTTTTGGTTTTTTTTTAAAAAAAATCATGGCTTGTATTAACCATGGCTTTTTATATTTGAACGGGCTTAGACTGGATTGTTTTATATTCTCCCCATGTCTGCTAGGTGCCGTCAGAAGGAAAGGGGAAAAACAAGCCTGGATTTTGAGTCAGACAAGCCATAGTTAGTTTGCTGTCCACAATATGGGTTCTGGCTTGTTCCTAAAGGTCTATAGAGATTCTCAAGTCATCCAGATCATGGTTTCTCCCAAAGGGGCTTTTTCAAGAGGCAACTGGACTTTCTCTGTTTTTTTTCCTTGAAGACTTTTCGTTTCTCCTCCAAGAAGCTTCTTCGGTTCTAATGTTAAAATTGAACGGCCCTGTCTCAACAGAGGGGGAGGGATACGACACCACCTGTCTCCTGCTTACAACGCAATCCTTTCAGCAGTTCCAAAGAGATTCCATGTCCATTTGCATTATTCAGATGACCCCCAAGGGCACAGATAAACCTCCAAGTGGCCTCAAGGATTCTCAGAGAGGATACTAACGACCAGATGACTGCAAGGAATACAAATCCTTCCATTTCCCCCCGTCATTCAGTCAGAACTGAAGAAAGCTTCTTGGATGAGCAGCAAAACGTCTTCAAGGAAGAACGAAGAAAGTCCAGTTACCTCTTGGGGGGAAAACTACCTTTGCAGTTTTCTTTTGTCTGAATGCCTTCCAGTGTTTGATGGAAACATTTCAATCTGAAAAGGTGATCCCTCTCTGTCTTCTTATCTCTCCTTAGACTTAACCAACATATTGACTGCTGCATATTAAGGGAAGACACAAGAAAGTGACATGTTTGGTTGTTTAATATTCTTGGATTTGATTGAAGTCAGCACATCTCTCCATCAGCAACATATATGTTTGTATGCACATTTAGCCACATTCCTACCCATTATGTTCTCAGCAGCAATTTTCAACATCATTCCCCCCCATCGACACCCCACCAGGTCCTTTTCTAAATGTCCTTTGATTTAACTGCACAAAAAAGGCTCTTTTTCAAGCAAGACCCACAACCAACAACGGCCATTTTTAGATAACTTTTTCTCTCTCTCTTTTTTTTTTTTACAGAAAAAGAAGGGCGACATCTCTAAAAAATTTAAACCGAACCTTTAAAAACTGCCTTTTAGAGAGTACAAATTTAACGCCTAGAAATAAACGCCCTCTCCTAGCAGGTCACAAGGATCTCTATTCTGTTTAACAAATCATGAAGTTTTAAATTAACCTTTTATCCCATTTGTTGTTCTGCATTTTATTTTTTATTTTATTTTTAAAGAGGGTTTAAAAACAAACATGGCCAACTAGCAACTTAGGAACGCTTGGTTGTCTTGAGTAATTTTTTCCTCGCTGACATCCGGCTGTGTTTTTTAGCAGATTTGCTCGCGTTTTCATTTTTTTTAGGGAAAAGGGGAGGAAGAAAAAAACAAAACATGTATTTTCAGCTTGTAAGAAAAAGATCCGGCATTTCTCCTTGGATTTTGTATGCGTTATGTAAATGTACATATTTTGTATGTAAAGCAATGTGAAACTCCAAATTTTGAACTCCCGAATCAAGGATTCCATCACATTTATAGATCATTGAATTCACCACGGCAAAAATACTCCCAGGGCCCACTTTTTAACCTTCTGTCTGGAAATTCCATCGTTTCCCACCCATTGGGAGTACATAAGTTGGCCATCTCTGTTTTTAAAACCTCACAAAATGTTCTTGATTTATTATCATTATAAAAAAAAAAGTCAATAATTGTAAGAAAGTACCTTTCCTTATTAGAACGCTCTAGCTTAGCTATACTCTTAATCCTTTTCAAGATCATGACGTAACGTAAATTTCTCTAACTTAGTTCCTATATGTGGAGTTAGTAAAAAGTCTTTTGTGTTTCTCTAGATGAATAACAAGGAACTGTTTTTTTCGGGCCCCAAATACAAATCGGAGCTTACCGTGTTTCCATTTTTAAGCTTAATTGTGATACTGAAAGGCCAATGGGAAACAAAGTCAAAACACCCAATTAAAATATAAGAATAACAGTTATACTGAGAAGCTTAAAAAAACAACAAAAAAGGGGGAAAATAAACCCTGTCATTTTCTGTTGTTGTTTTTTTTTAAATTTTGTTTTCTACTCTCAAAACTAGATCTAGACTAGTAGGTAAGCATTCCAGAATCCATTATTCTGTGTACATTATTGTCGCTATTGTGAGAATAGAGAATTTTATTTATTTTTTAAGGCCAGCTTTTATTGTGAAGACATATGGGTTTAGTCCGGTTTTATCAACCCTTGTTATGCTCGTCCTTCAACCATCTTTCTGCGTACTCGAGGTTTGTAGTTGAAAAGTTTACTGTACAAAAAAAAAAAAGGAAAAAAATCAAAAAACAAAAAAACTATTGTTTTTACAGAATAAATTTATTGGAATGTGTATCCGGGAGTAAGGTTTGAGGTTGTAAGCAGCTGAGTTAGCGTCATATTTGGCTTCATAACGTGTAATGTGAGGTATTCATGTAACTCGAGTATTAAAGCAACGCATTCTGTTAACACTTGAGTTGGTTAATAGAACACCAATGCAGGGGGAAAGCTCTCTTGTGTCTCTCCCATGGCTTCGATTTGTGGCGGTTGTGCTGAATCTGAAATTTCAAGGACCAGACCAATCCATGGCTGCCTGCGAATGGCCCACAAACCGTGGTGGCGCAGTGGTTAGAGTGCGGTACTGCAGGATCACGTTGCCAGGAGTTCAATTCCCTCAATCCTGGCTGGGCTCAAGGTTGACTCGGCCTTCCATCCTTCCATGGTTGGGAAAATGAGGGGCCAGATTGTTGGGGGACAATACGCCGACTCTGCAAACCACGTAGAGAGGATTGTAAAGCACCGTGAAGCGGTATAGAAGTGCTGTTGCTATGCTAAACCTTCACATCACATGAGCACCGATAGGAATCCTTGACCACTGCCCACTAGGTGGAGCCTGGCAAACTTTGGCTAAGCAGGGTCAGGCATGGTTAATATTTGGATAAGAGACTTCTAGGAAATAACAAGAGCGGGAAGTTAAAAAACGAAATCCTGGGGAGGGGAGGAGCAATAGCAAATCACGATTTATTTGTGCCCCAAAACTAAACAGTCTTTACTGCTACCGTGTTTCCCTGAAAATAACACAGGGTTTTATTTTCTTTGACTTGACCTTATTTTCGGGGAGATCTTATTATTTTTGAGGTGCAGGAGGCCCCTTAACCTCGGCTCGTGGATCAGCTGATCCAGAGAGGGCCGGAAGTTCTGTGTCTGTTTCTGGCACACTCTTGCCAGCCCTAGTATCACTGGGCCTGCTGCTCTTTTTGCGACCGCCACTAAGAGAAGGGGCGCTGTAGCGAGGGTTTGTGGGAGTGGCCTCCACAAGGCCATTCTGCATGGATGGCAGGGCATGTGGGGCATATCCCCCCCCTCAGGAAATGGGGGGACTGGCTGCATGCGCTTAAATATTTTAGGGTAGGGCTTATTTTGGGGGGAGGGCTTATTTTAGTGCATGCGCTCAAAAGCCCAATTGAGCTGCTTATCCAGGGCAGTCTTATTTTCAGGGAAACAGGGTAGTATATGATTGCAGTCAACATTGCCTCAACTTACAACCACAACGAGGGCCGGAATTTCCATTGATAAAGCAGTGGGGGGTTGTTAAGTAAGCCGTGCTCAATTTTATGATTTTGGGGGCTATGGTGGTTAAGCAAATCACCGCAATTGTTTGCCAAAGCACATGCAGCTCCCGCCCATTGATTTTGCTTGTAGGAAGCGCTGAGAAGGTACTGAGCTGAAGAAGACAAATCCTCAAGAACATCATTGCTGCTCCATTAGTTAGCGTGTTGGGTTGAAACTCCATGGGCTTCCTCGTGACTCAGTATTGTACAAGCCAAGATGATGGGATTCAGTCAATAAACATAGGTTAAGAAACCACAGTTAGCATTCTGTGCAGACGTCGTTTCCCGGTGGCTCTCAATAATAACAAAACAGCATATTCTCTTGTCAGCAAGATGTGGCAAAATTTCTAGGATGGTTGGATTGGTCTTTGATCATCCTTTTCCAGCCAAGATTGAAAGCTCCTTCTTTTCTCATGTTTTGTCTTTAGTTCGTCCCCTCGGAAATGTTAAAAATAAAAATTCAGTGGTTTGGTCAAGACTGACCCCCACTTGAGGAAAAAAATTACCCAGTCCACCACTCATTCCTGAAACCATTTAATTAATTCACCGGTGTGGTTGAAAATGAAATTGGCACGGAGGAAGATTAATTAGAGAGACCATGGATGTGGGAGTTTATTAACAAGAGTTTGGATAACACGGAGAAGTGTCAGTTGCCTGGGGGAGTGAAGGAGCTGCCTTCTTGAATGATTTAAACCTCACCCCCATCACTACCCTACAAATACTCTTGGGATGAGTCTCCAACAGAACCGATTCTATTTGGAGAAAGAGATTCCCGCAGAATCTGGAAGCAAGCTCTTGAGAAATACTATGAAAGACAGAAGTCTTTTATTTTCAGTAATTTTGCCCCAACTGAGGACCCCCTTCTTTGCAATGCCCCACAGTTCTGAAGCCATCTTTAGTCCACCTTCTCTTCCAGCTGGGCTTTCATGAAAAACTCAGGGTTGCGGAGACAGCGAAACACAAAGAGCTGCGGGAGGACTCCATGGATCACGTTGAGAACAAGAAACCACACCTTCCCTTCATCGGGGACTCTGTAGATGTAGGGCGTTCTGGCATGTATGGAGGCACCAATGTGTGAGAACTGAGCCTGGAAAGCAGAAGGAATGGAATTCGAGTTGTCATTTGTGCAGGGATCTGTGTTAACTGCCCCCATAATCACTGGATGCATCAAGATGTTTCCTTCAGTCAAAGAACCATGGCCCATCACTCTTGAAGGTTCCAGAGCCCCCGGGCTATGGGTTTTAAATGGGTGTTTTAAATGAGATTCCACCACCCACTTCTTTGTCCTGGACCAGGGGTGAAATCCAGCAGGTTCTGACAGGTTCTGCCGAACCGGTAGTGGGAATTTTGAGTAGTTTGGAGAACTGGTAAATACCACCCCTGACTGGCCCGGTCCCCATCTATTCTCTGCCTCCCGACTCCCAGCTGATCGGGAGGAAATGGGGATTTTACAGTATCCTTCCCCTGGAGTGGGANGCTTCGCTTCCTCAAATAAAACCGAAGAAAAAGAGAAATGCCGATTTCACCCAGTGTTTTTCTTCCCTTCCAATTATGTAGCTCAGAGCATGTGTGTTTTCCAACAGACATGGGAAATCATTATTGATAGCTCTGTGGTGGAAAATCTGGAACGGTGAATAATTTTCCCTGCGGGATAAATTTTTGCTGATCTTTGGCAGTGCAGAATCGGACTGCAAGCCGCCACAGATATTTGTAACGAGACCCACAACAAATAATGAGAACTGTCTTTTTCTTGGACAAACGCAGCTTAGCCTTCTGCGAGTCAATGGTTAAAGGAACTGTGAAACTTTGGTGGGGAACACACTTGCAAGCCATTTCCTTTTCCTCCTCAGAAACCACAAGCCACAAAAACAGCACTGTTGGATTTCTGTCATATTTCACTGGCTTCATGAAGTTTGCATTATAGAAGAAGTAGGAATTAGTGATAAGAAGGTAGGAAAAGTAGGATTTACAGAAGTAGAAAAAGGCATTGATTAGTAGAAGAGCGATAAACACTGTCTGATACGAATAATCAAACATAGACCGACAAGCAAAACAGTAAAAAAATAATAGGAGGATAAGTGTAAAAATGTATAGAGATGGATTGAGAGGAGGAAAAATGTTTGTAAAAATGCACCGATAAAATATCTGCTGTAAGAAGGAATGAGAAGTTCCAATTACTTGTAAGTGCTGTGTATGTCTTTGTCAATGTGTGTAACTGTTTATAATAATAATAAAAAAAAGAAGTACGCTGAGTAACTAATGAGTAGGGATGCTCATCCTGATTGCGAGTCACGGTCTTCTCTTTGCAGAGCCGGAGGACAACATGGGCTCCAGGGAGAAATCCTTTGCACTTGGGCCAAACTGCTTCCCTTTTGACAAATGAACCTCTGGCATTTTTTTTTCTGGAGAAAGCAGCTGCTGGCTATTGTTGTGCCCCTTTCCACAACATGTCAGCACAGGCAACAGGCAGCCGAGGGCAGGGCAGCGTCTAAAAATACCAGCCCAGCTTATGGAAGTGCCAAAGGGCCTCGACCTTCCTGCTCTTGTTCCTGGCCCGGCCTGGCCTTCCCCAGAGTACCTCTTAAGCCATGACATCAACAACAGCCTGTTCAACATGTCCCCCTTTATATAACCTGAAACACAATCTGTGCAAACTCCAGGTATTGTTCCAGGGATAAAGGACACCCAGCCGCAAGACAGCCAACCGGCTGCACAAAATGAGCAGGGAGGGTGCTCTAAGTCAGTACTTTAATGTTAGGATAGGATAGGATAGAGTAAAACAGGATGAATAGAATAGGATGGATAGGATAGGATGAATAGGATAGGATAGGATAGAATGAATAGAATAAAATAGAGTAAAGTAGGATAAATAGAATAGAATAGGATAGGATGAATAGGATAGGATGAATAGAATAGAATAGAGTAAAATAGCATGAATAGAATACAATAGGATGAATAGGATAGGATAGGATAGGATAGGATGAATAGAATAAAATAGAGTAAAATAGGATAAATAGAATAGAATAGGATGAATAGAATAGGATAGGATGAATAGAATAGGATAGAGTAAAATAGCATGAATAGAATAGCATAGGATGAATAGGATAGGATAGGATAGGATGAATAGAATAGAATAGAATAGAATAGAGTAAAATAGGATGAATAGAATAGAATAGGATGAATAGAATAGAATAGGATGAATAGAATAGAATAGAGTAAAACTGGATGAATAGAATAGAATAGGATGGATAGGATAGGATGAAAAGAATAGAGTAAAATAGGATGAATAGAATAGAATAGAATAGGATGAATAGAATAGAATAGGATGAATAGAATAGAATAGAGTAAAACAGGATGAATAGAATAGAATAGGATGGATAGAATAGAGTAAAANGCACGGCGGCACCATTTTGAATGTCTCTTTAGCAAGTAAGATATCAGAAGGAATTCTTGTAAAAATGAAGCTAAGGATTAATACAAACAATTAAAAGTTCACGTGTACAGGGTCCGCTCATCTTGGATTCAGTAAATCAAATTTTGTTCTGAGGATGGGAGGTTTTCTTTGTGCTGCAAATCGCAGCAGGAATTCCTGGCACGGAGACAATTCTGCCCTCGGCTGGCCTTCCCCCCCCCTCCCAGAAACGATCTGCGAGAGTTGGTTGGCACCAATTCATAAACTTGATCACACCTGTCCACCCACCCATGGATGTCTATGCCTGGACCTTCACTTTTCCTGTCCCGTGTTGAAGTATAAACATAGCAGCCAACTTTAAATGCATTAAAATTCAAATGTAAGACTTTCCACAAAAGTGTGCATGGCACACACCTCGTGTTGTAAGATCCCTGTCCCTATTCTTCAAAAAGGCCACCTACCATGCCCCTGAAGAGACAGAATCCTGTTGCAAAAATGAAATACGAAGCCAAGAGAAAGTCAGTCGGTCTTCTCAGGAGATTCTGCTTTTGAACTTCTTTGATAACCTGCAAGGGGGGGGATGGAAGCCCTGTTAGAAGTTTGCGCCAACAGCAGCAAAGGACTTTGTAGCATCTCTGCAAAACAATATACTTTGTGCCATGTGCCAGATGTTTTTTAGGAGGGGCCCTGGCCTCTGCAATTTAGCAGGAACTTTTCCAGCAGGCCCCAAAGTGTCAAAACAGTTTGGAAAACAATGCACAGACTTCATTCATGCTGCCTGCCAAAATCATGGGGTTGGTTGAGTATGGGCCGAGTGTCCTAGGAGGCCTCAACCCCTTTGCTTTCCAATCCATGATTTACGGCTTATCAACCCAGCCAAAGTTATAATTTGACAATTGTGCAAACTTATCCAATTATGCTTAATTCCATAATTCAAAGTCAAACAAACCACCGCTTAGCATGTTGCAAAGTAAAAAACACCCAAAAGTCTTTTTCTCCTCCTCCCCTCACCCAAACAAAACAAAACAAAAACTGCTCCAACACTAGAAGTTTAAAAGAAGAGATTGGACAACCATTTGTCTGAAATGGTGTAGGATTTCCTGCCTATGCAGGGGGTTGGATTGAAAAACCTCCAAGGTCCCTTCCAACTCTTATTCTATTCTATTCTCCAGTCCCCTAATCATCTTTGTTGCTCTTCTCTGCACTCTTTCTAGAGTCTCCACATGTTTTTTACATCATGGCGATCAAAACTGGAAGCAGTTTTCCAAGTGTGGCCTTATCAAGACATTATAAAATGGTATTAACACTTTTCATGATCTTGATTCTATCCCTCAGAGCACTCGGGCCACCACAGGTATCCCTGACACGAGTGACGTCAAGCTGGCCACGCCCCTCCCAACCACGTCCCCCCTCTCCCAGGTCAAACACAACCCTGATGCGGCCCTCAATGAAATTGAGTTTGACACCCCTGTTCTACCTGTACATAGGCAGACTGTGATTCTACGCATGCTTAACATAGGGAGCGTAAGCAGAAAAATGTCTTCACCTAGGATGAAATGACATGTTTCAGGCCTTTGGAGTAGCAATGTGATTTATTCGTTTTGAGATTTATTTGCGAGGTGAGCCCAGCCATGATGTCTTGCAAACCACAGTTTCAGAAGGATCCTGGCAAGTCATGGCACATTCAGAAAAACCAGGAAACGGGATTCTATTCTATTCTGTTCTTTTGAAATCCAAGCCTTCTCTCCTTCTCCTTCTCATCATGACAATTGTTAACAAGAAGAATACCTTCGTTGGGAAATCGACAGCTGCTGGAGGTTGATTATAGATTTTGAAACCAGCCCATATTGGGAGACAAATATACGGCACACTTAACAAAGAGACAGGACACAGTCTCATTCCATATTTTCCTATTCGGGAACAGGGAGAACAAGAATTAAGGATCGTTAATGACAGATTGAACACGGTGCAATCTTTTGCATGCCTATTCAGATGAAAATCGCAATGAAACCAGTGCAGCTTTCTGATCTTGTTTGCATGATAAGTTCAGCTGGGTTATTTGTATCCTGGTTTATTCGGATATCCCACTTTCGAAGTTTCATACAATGCATGAGATAAAGCTCAGGGGTGGGCTGCTACGGGTTTTCCCAGGTTCGGAGAACCCATAGCTAATGTTATGGCCGATTTGGAGAAACCTCCAAATCCCAACCATGGCTGGCCCCGCCCAACCAACCCTCCCCTCCCCTCACTGCAGGACAATTCAACAATTCAATTTGATTATTTAAAACAATTTAAAATTATTTTAATTCTTGTCATTTACATATCATTTTGTCCCTCCCTGGACATCCTTTAATGATTCTAGTCCACTGTTTCTTTGATATTACTCTTCTCCCACAGCGAGTTGTCATGGCAAGTTGGCCATGGCAAGTTGGCTGCAGTGAATTGGTTGCGGCGAGTTGACCCTGGCGAGTTGTCGTAGACCTGTCACAGGACGCATTTTTGACTTTCCAGCTAGTGTGCAATTCTAGGTTACCCAACCTCCCATCTCAGCACTAAACGTATCCCATGCTGCTTTGGCTTTTGAGATTGGCCAAAGTTATCTAAATGCTCCCAGACTGATGTACAATACAATGAAATATGCATTTCATTGGTAACCACTGATCTCATTGCCTTAAAAATGCAAGAATCTGAAAAAAAAAGAGGTCAATTACGCAAGAATCTGAAAAAGAGGTCAATTACGCAAGAATCTGAAAAAGAGGTCAATTACGCAAGAATCTGAAAAAGAGGTCAATAAAGCCCCAAAGGAAAGTGTATCCTGGATATTTCCTTACCCACAATATTTCCAGGGATAAAGACAATTATGCTCATTGTGATGGATCCCATCCAGTACAAGCCAATCATCCGATAATTTTCCCTGCCAGAGGAAACAGAAAACCTTGCTATTAGATACCATTGTGATGCACGTCTTCTTACTGGAAGTACATTCAAACTATACGTGCCTATATATTTACAGTCACTGAATGTATTACTTGCACTAAATCATTGCTTTCGTTTTAAAACATAAATGGGGCCGTGTTTAAAATATACAGCCCTATAGGGTGGAGGCGGCGAAAAGTAAGTAGGGTGAAGAGAACCCATCTAAATGGGAATAGCATCACTGCGGCTGAAATCACACGACATCAATGTGGTTTGTTGGATTAAGGTAGTGGAGCATGACCAAGAAGACTTGAGTTCAGGATGGAAGGCTGAGTCAACTGTGAGCCGCTCAGAATCCAACTCCTGGCAGTGGGCAGAATTAGCCTGCAATACTTCATTCTAGCCACTGCACCACCAGGTCTCCTGACTCATGAATCTCATAGCAATAGCACTTATGTACCACTTCACAGTGCTTGAACAGCCTTCTCTAAGCGGTTGACAGAGTCAGCCTATCGTCCCCAACAATCTGGGTCCTCATTTGACCGACCTTGGAGGGATGAAAGGCTGAGTCAACTTGGAGCACCATCCGGATCGAACTCCTGGCAGTGGGCAGAGTCAGCCTGCAATACTGCACTCTAACGGCTGCGCCACCAGGTCTCTAGGAATAGCACCACTGTGGCTGAAATCACACAACATCAATGTAGTTTGTGACCAAGAAGACTTGAGTTCAGATTGATCTTCAGTCACATCGTTTGGAAGATCTCTCTGCCCCGACTACATCGCAGGGATGTTTTTTGTGAAGATCACGTTGGAAGAAAAGAGAGGCGTATATTTTAAGGACCCAGTCTGGGTCCTCATTTTACTGACCTCGGAAGGATGGAAGGCTGAATCAACCTTGAGCTGGTGAGAATCGAACTGCCGAACTGCTGACAGCCAGCAGTCAGCAGAGGTAGCCTGCAGTTCTGCCTTCTAACCACTGCGCCACCAGGGTTCATAGCCCTAGAGGTGGTTTTCACTTACCTTCCCTACCGGTTCGCAAATGTGAGCACGCACATGTGCTCAGAATTCCATGCATGCACTTTTGGAGAAAAAAGGGCCTAAATGTGATGCCATAGAGTTGGGGGGGGGCGCGACCACCTGCAATTTCCACTACCAGTTCCGGCAAACCGGTCCCAAACGATCGAATACCACCTCTGCTTAGCCCTCCCCCCTGCCAAATGTCACACTTAGCTCCCCAAAGGCCATGCTTACGTACTCCCAGGCAATGGCTGCCACCATCAGAAGATACATCAGATAATGGACGGAACCATCCCAGTAGCAAATCATGTGCCCGTAAGCTGTGTTCAGATAAGGCTCACCCTACGGAAATAAGCGTAAGAGTAACTGAACGACAAAGGAGATAAGGCTACGCAACAGTTTCAGCTGAAACAAACATAAAGTTTAACCCCCACTGGAAATAACATGTGGCATAATGATATCCTTGGTTGTCTTTGCCATGAGTTTAAGTCTACAACGGAGGTTGACGGATCTTTCTCCAACCGAAGAGAAGAACTGCAGCTTGGGGTTGAACCGTGGGATCCTTGGCAGGGGTGGGCTGCTATATAGGTTTGCCCGGGTTCAGGAGAACCGATAGCTAACATTATGGCCAGCTCGGAGAATCTCCAAGTCCCACCCCTGGTTGGCCCCTCCCACCCCACCCAGAGGTGGGTTCCTACCAGTTCGCCCCTATTCGGTAGAACCGGTTCGTCAAATCTACCGAACTGGTTAGAAGAGGTCCCACCAGTGGACCTGGAAAGCAGGCCACACCTACAGAAGAGGTTCCAAAGTTTTTTGAAACCCACCACTGACACAGAGAGAGAGAGAGACAGACAGACAGACAGACAGAGAGAGAGAAAGGAAGAAAGAAAGAAAGAAAGAAAGAAAGAAAGAAAGAAAGAAAGAAAAAAGAAAGAAAGAAAGAGTTAGAGAGATGAAAGAAAAAAGAAAAAAGGGACAGAGAGACAAAAGGAAAGAAAGAGAAAGAAAGAAAGAAAGAAAAAAGAAGGAAGGAAGGAAGGAAGGAAGGAAGGAAGGAAGGAAGGAAGGAAGGAAGGAAGGAAGGAAGGAAG